TAATAAATAATAATAGGTAATAATACAAAGGGTATGCGATAATATATCTACTGAGTGTACAAGAAAATTGTCAAAAAATGGGTTCATAAGGACATGTAATGTTATTTATACACAATGAGAATATGTATTTTCATCATGTATTAAGTATGCAAAGGAAAAGTTCATAGACTCATATGAATTTTTATCTTATCCAATACATGGGAAGAGAAAAAGTAAAAGGTATCATGAATTATGAATATCATGAAGTAAAAGACTTAGAGTTCAGGTATTGAATGGAAATGGAGAAAAACAAAAAAAAGAAGAAATTTTTTTTTCTTTCCTTTTTTATCTTTGATTACAAATGATTAGTTAATTGTTATTGTGTCACAGTTATTGTAAAGAGCAATAATTGATTGAAATGCTCAGTGAACAATATTTTAAGAACGGTAACAATCAAATATCAATATGAACTAATTGATTAATGTACTAGGATATGTATGTGGACAATCAAGGTTGATTAGTTGAGTGATTAAAAAGTGTTAAGGATTGTGATTAATGGTTTTGATGGCTAATTATGATTAGATTGAGTTTGACTTTTTCCTTTTAGCTACTTTTACCTTTAAGTTATTAACTTGATTGCTACTCAATGAAAATCAACTAAATCATCCTGACAATTGTATCACAATTATTGATTATATTATCTTGATGATTTTCATGATGGTTGCAGTTGAATTTAATTAATGATTGTGAAGTAAATAATAATAACTTTTTTTGTGTGTAGGCAAAAATGAATGTTGATTAGTAATTATGATTATATGTAATCAGATGAAAATCTATTGAATCAACTGGGGACATTTTCATGATGATCATGATGAAAATAAAAGATAAACCCAGAAGGAGATTAATCAATGATGATGATGAAAGTTACGGGTGAGAGAGAGAGAGAGAGAGAGAGAGAGTAAAGGTTAACCTTTGAATAATCAATAGAATCAAGAGAAAGATGAATTAGTTACATTGGAATAGACTAGTAAGAGATTAAGGAGATAAGGAGAATTCTGAATTTCCATGATAATCCATGAGAGATGAGTTTATGTATTATTCCTTATTATTAAATCTCAGGAAATGAAAATTCTGATACTCATGATAACCTTCAACCAGAATTAGGTGACACTGTCCAGTAATCAGATTTTTACCTAAGTGAGATTATCATTATGATTACTGTTATTATCATGTCACTTTAGAGTCTAGACTTTTACTTGATTAACTTAATCACTTGGTTTTTATATTAATCAGGAATCAGAATAATCTAAACTATTCAAATGAGCACAAATTAATCACAATCAAAATAGCTCAACTATTAATATATTCACTGAATTGATTGAGTTGATCATGATGCTTTTGAATATTTGATTAATTTTTGTTTGCCCTCAAGGTTTTCATCTGAATTTCAAGTGATTCAATTGATTGGATTAAATAATTTAATTGTTTTAAGCTTAATTGTCATCAGGAGATCACTAATTTAATCAATATAATTATCATAGCTTTTAATGACTTCTCATTAATCTCAAGGAATCAAATTAATTCACTTTGAAAATCATTGCCTATTGACTATCTGGTAATTATATGGAATTGGATTAAGCCCAAAAGTATCTGATTAGGATTAATAAGATTAATTGTGATTTAGAGCCAAAAAACATAGTCAATGTAATTGTTAAGCTTAGATGATCAATCCCAGAGCAATTAAAATATTGGATTGACATTTAGATTGCAAATTAATTATAACAATCAAAGTTTTAATAGCTTTTTTTTTCATCATTTGAATAGTTGAAAAAACTAATCGATTAAATTAATTGTGTATTTTAATTTACCAATTACAAGAGCAAATTAAAAAATTGGACAATTTGATTAACTTATCATCAAAATAAACAACAATTTAATCATAAAAACAAGTTAATTGTGATTCCAAGAAAATCAAATATTTAAATCAACTGATTATCATCAACTAAATTGAATCATTTTCATTTTTTGTTGTAAAATTTACAAGATAAATTGTTCAATCTTGTTACTAGAGCTAATTGAGTTTTAATTATCACAATTAACTTTATATTATAATCTAATCTAGATTGATAAACATTCACGAATCTTGTGTGTGTATCGATAACAAGATCTTAATTGGTTTATGATAGAAAACAAATTGCAATTTGATGAACAATTTACGCAATTTGATGCCAATCATTTGTTTGATGATTAAGGTTGGATAAACAATTACGATTGATGTAAAAGGATTAATGTTCAGTATCAAGTATCAGGGGAAGGAGACAGAAAAAAAAAGTTCTGGTCTCATCATGAAACAACATCTTATTACAATATTTATCTTTCTTATCTCATGTTAATATCATGATATTTTACCTGGAAATTGGTGTTTTATTCACCAATAAACCAACAGTCAAAGGGCAGAGTATTAAGTTGATATAATTGGATCACAGGTAAGTAAAAGTAAAGGTAAATCCTTTGAAATTTACTTTTCATGGTAAAAAATTTTCATGAATTATTAGGTTGTTTCATTTGGTTCTGCGCGCGCTTACTTATAAATTGGTTAACTAATTGTTATTAGTTATTAAGCTCATTTTTTGAGACAGAGACGTTTCTTAGCATCAATTGTGACTTTTCTAACATAAATTGTTTTATCGGAAAACGATAGGTCACGTGGATCAAATTTACGAAAATCTACTTTGTCTTTCTTTCATTAATTTTGGTACAAAAACGCCAATATTTGGTAGTGTCTGTGGATTGGAAATGTTGACTAGCTATTTGAGTCACGATAAATCTAAAAAGATCAAATCAATCTCATTTTAGCAACGCGTTTTTCTTAAATTTGCAATGAGGCTATTTTTGTTCGATCTTAAGCCATAACTTTCTTGTGAGACTTTCATTAACAAATTTAGAAACTTTTTTTAGTGAAAATACTCATTATCTGATGATTCGTTAGTTTACAATAAATTTGAGCCACTCATAAATCTATATAACCTCGAAAAACTAAGAAGAGACGCATATTTTTTGAATTTCCCGCTCTCGCGCTAATTTCGCCTAAACTTTTCTTCGCAAAGACATGAAACATATATCATATAATAAGCAGGATCTAAGCTTTAAAATAAGTTAATGAAAAATCTTCTAGACCACCGATAAGTCGAGAAATCGTTTGACAAAATGGTGCAAAACCAAATGAAACAACCTAATATATTCACGAGTTGATATCATTAGTTACAATTCAATGAATATCACCTTATCCATTAGTTCATCATATAAATCATCTCTCTCTCTCTCTCTCTCTCACTTTCTGTTTCATGTCATCGTAATTTCATCATGATATTTATTTGATAATCTTCAGTCAATTTCATGAATATTATTGAGAATCTGAATCAATGATGAAAAATTAAGTTCTGAATCAAATGTTTCCATATCAATAGTTATTGTTAATATTATAAAACTGATTGAAATCAAGATCAGTATAACTTTAATAATATAATGCTAAGACTTTAATCAGATGTGAATTTCTCATAACAATTAACCAATTTGATAACTTAATTTTAAGGATCACTTTTTTAAATTGTAATTCGTGACACATTATTTAATCAATTTTAATTAGTTTGCCAGCCCAATGGTTGCAAAGTGTAAAGGGAAAACATAATGATATGATATATGCACAGTTAGTTTTAATCTAATACAATCATTAATTTAATGACAATCATTAATTGTAAACAGGCTTACAAAAAAAGCCCAAGGTCTGATAACTTCATTATTCAATACAAACAATTTAACTTTCTGCATATAAACTTGATTAATCAGATGAGTTAATCAAAGCCTCATGATTAAACTATCTGGTATTGATCAATTATCATCATCATCATTAAAATCATCCTGATTCATGATTGTGTTTTTTTTCATTGGAACTTTTTTCTATCATGTTTTTCTAATGGCTTTTGGTATCATCGATTTCAATGAATCTTTTTCTCCTCTATCAGTATATTTACAATCGCGATTTTCATGATCATTATCAGTTTTAAAACTCTGCTCATAAACCGAGTAGGAGGAGAGAGAGAGAGAGAGAGAGAGAGAGAGAAGATGAAGATTATATTATCTTCCTTTCTCTCATCATTAAAGATGAGAGATTGGGATGGAAATGTGAATATCTTTTTGGAAAACCTTAAGTTTCTATTGTTATATTATTAGGAAAAAAAGAAAGAAAAAAAAAGCAAACCAAAGCAAAAGTATTTATGTAACATGGTGGAGAATGGATCATGGTGAAGTTCTGGTAAAGTTCTGGTAACATGTTTCAGATTGGAAAATATTTTCAAAAGTCTCTTTTGGTTGAAAATTTCTCTTCATTTGTAAGAAACTTAAAGAAAAGATTCTGTTCTCGAATCTTTTAGTTAGTATTCTGAATCTTTACTGTTTTTATCGTTCTCATCATCATCAACAACATAAGAATCAGTATCATGAGATGATGATCATCATCATGATCATCATTGCAACCATAAAGCTCTTCTTGTACAATAAAAGCTTCTCAACTTTCATTACCTTTTCATGATTACTTGTGAATCTTATATATATTTCCTTCAGAATCATCATCTTCATCTCCTCATCTTTTATCATTGTATCTCAATGGATGAAAATGATATCCAAGTATTATTATAATCGCACACAACTTGTATTCATTTCTCTTATTCAAGAATATTCAGAATTCATCAAACAATTGAATTCATCATCAGCAGAGAGAGAGAGAGAGAGAGAGAGAGAGCAAAAATCTCACTGTTATCTAAATAATTGAATACAAAGTATTATCATAATCTGAAACAGTTGAATATTTGGATGGTGAAATATCACTGAGCATGAATTTCACCAATAGATTATTTCATTTGCCTCCATATCAACATTTCCAATTGATAGTAAAGGTAAATCATATGTGTGTCTATTGGTTATGGTTTTCATTGAATATATTGTTATCTAAATTGTCCACTTACGAGTATCCCTGACGGCAGTGATGACCAATGTAAATCCATCTCCCGATTGGCTCCATTGGTCAGTTTGATACTTTAGAGTAATATAATTACTGTGAAAAAAGATTAACCCGTAATCTCCTCGTGTACTCCGACAAGAAAGATTAACCTTTGAGAATTGTGAATAGATATGAAATGAAATGAGAGATTAGTTAAGGGGAAAATCTGATTACGATGATTAGATAGATACTTTTGATTGGCCTGCGAAACCATCACCATCATAAACATAAAGATGATCATAACAGTCAAGGCGAAGATCATCAAATCGAAGCATAAATCGTTGTGAGACAAGTTCAGTTTGAAAGGTTAAGGTACAATTCATGTTTTCATCTCGAGAAGATGTGATAACTGCCCCATCGATTTGTTTGGACAATGGTGTGTACTTTTCCCTCATACAAAGGGTTGACATGTGATCTATGGATAAGAAAGGAAGAGACAGAAATAGATATTAGAATGCTGGACAGAATAGAATCGATATGAAAGGAATATGAAGGAAAATAAAAGCATGAGAACTGAGACTCGAAGATAACAGGGAAGGATAGGAATATCATGTTGGATTTTCTTATGTATAAGGAATCGAATTTTTTTTTCTTTTCATCAGAATTTTAATTGTTTCTACTTACATCTTTTATTGTGCTCGCAGATCACTTGATTCCATGAAATTAACTGAACAATTGTCGCAAAATAGTAAACAATTTGTGTGTATGGGCGTAAACCGGCACAAGATGCGGCCATTTTATTTCATCATCGATCCATTACTTTCCCTTTTTATTATAAGAGTAGACACATCATAGAGGAGAGACAGAGACAGATAGAGAAAGAGAAAAAAAGAGATCGAGAGAGAAAGAGAAACAGTGAGAGAGAGAGAGAGAGAAAGAGAGAGAAATGTACAAAGAAAAGAATGATGGAAGGAGAGTAGAGAAGAAAGAAAGATGGCCCCAAATTTCGTGAGAGTCTCGAATCGAGTTATCGAAGTCCCTTTATTCTAAGGTATTCCAAGGTAAAATTCGACATGCGTACAAAAAGTTCTAAGTCTTGAACCATAATCGAAATATCTTTCTCGATATAAAAAGTAGCGACACCTAATTTGGATAAAAGGTAATAACTTTTTCGAAAGAAAAAAAAAACTTTTCTACTTTCAACATTTTCCAATAGATGTCATTGAAATGAGAATTTGATTAATACAATTTATCTCTTGGTGTCACTTTTAATTTGATAAACTCCAAGTAAATAAAGTTAAACATGATAATGATGATGAATGATGATTAATGATAATCATTGATTATCACTCCCTTTTCTTGAGATGATCCTTTTGATGGATCAAAGATATGAAATCAATTAGATTCAAGAAAAGTCAAAACTGTTACAGAATCAATGTAATCCATTAAATTGGAAAATAAGTTAATCATTTTGAAATTTAAATTGGAAACAATTTGCGTGCTGATTATTAGGGAGAAGGAGAAAAAAATTTCTAAATTGTAATAATAATAAAGAGAATAACTAAAAATAAATATGATATTATTGAAGAACAACAAAAAGTGATTAAGTGATTTGCTGGCGAAAAAAAAAGTTCATCTAAATCAAACAAGAAAATTGATTGGAAAGGTAGAGAAGATGAAGAAGAGAGTAAAGTGATTAGTAAATTGTTGGTAAATTTGCCTGATCATTTACATTGATTAACAAGGAAAAACAATCAATAACATTATCACTTATCAACATTGGCCCATTGAGAGATAATTGTTTGACCTAATATTATGTTTATTTATCCAGGTAAATTTATCTTCCGCCTTGTGACCTCGAAAAGTCATCCGTAAGTTGGCATCATCTTCATCCTCATCCTCATCCGCATCACCATCATTGTGAAAATGATGATGATATCACTTGATACTAACTTTTTTATGGGCTTGGTTCTAATCTTTCACAGGATCATCATCATCATCTTCATCATCATCATACTCATAATCATCTCTATTATCATTATCATCCCTGATCATCTTTCTCAAGGCCGGATGAAAATTCAAACAATTTACTGACCTAAATTAATTTTCATCTTTGGTCTTATTTTTGTTTTCTTCTCATCATCATCTTTATCCTTTCTCTTCATCTTCAAAGATGAAGATGGAGATAATAAAAATGAAATTGATTCATGAGAGATTGAGAGAAATAATTTTCTTCTCATTCCCCCTCTACCATGATAGTTGAAAATTGAATCAATTTCTTGATAACTGATTGATGGTTATGTCAGTTTACCTTAAAATTTATCAATAACAATTCAGTTTCTGTAATATATATTCACTATCATCTTCATCTTAATCGTAATGATTATCATCATCATCATCATCAGAGTGATTCACATTTTTATGGAAACAAAAAATTAACTTTAATCAACAGTTATTCAAGTTGATTAACCCGTAAGGCCTTTCTGATTATTATCTTATCATTTAATATATAAATTTGATTGAGAAAATTATTCTCATCATCTTGTCAGATTAATTATTATTATTATTATCAAAATTTTCCCTCAATTCCTCTAGTTATTATTTAGCTAATCATCATAATCAATCCCAACCAATCAAATATTAAGTTAATAGTATCAACTAATAATAAAAACTTTGTCACGATTTAAAAGTCCAATTACCTAATCATAAACTTTAATCGAAGGTAAAAATTAATAAATTTCTCGCAAAAATCAACCATAATAATCGTAACCCTATTGGTAATTATCTAATTGGATGATGATTAAGCTAAACAAAGTTATCACCTTCATCTTAATCCTTAATCACAGTTTGATCATGATCAAATTGATAATCATCGTCAACTAAATTGTTTAATTGCAACACAATTTAAATTAACTAAACTCCACTATTAGTGGTATGGTTTTATTATTATTTTCTTGATTACTTTTGATTATCCATTAGTTGGCTATATATAATATTAGATCATCTTTCACAGTTTCTTGATGAAAGTGATTAATGACAATTAAATCAACCTGATAAACTTGATTAAAAGTTTTTTTTTTACTTTCATGATGATTTAAATTATATATATATAGATATGTTTACAGGTAAAAGGATGATGATGATGATGATAAAAAAATAGGAGGCTCATAACAGTTTAATTGGTGTAACAGGTAAAAGTGATTTTCAATTGGAAAATAATAATAAATAAAGTGATAAAATAGCAGAAATTATTTGAGGTCATTCGTCTCCCTCATCATCATCTTCATCTTTTCATTTACCTGTCTTCTTCTCTTTCTTATCATCCTCATCTTCATCCTCATCTCGATCATCATTCACCTTTTTTGTTACGCTTTAATATTATTTCATATAACCTAAAATTCAGTCTCAAGATTTACGATAAAAGTGAAGAGAAATAGAAAGAAACTTTCTAACCCTACTTTTCCTTTATCATTCTTATCATCTTAATCATCTTAATCATCTTTATCTTCATCATCATCATGATCGTCATCTTAATCACTCAAATCACAACAATTAATTTCTCTCAATTCCAATTCGTTTGATAACCAATGTTGATTAAGTTTTAATCTCATTTTCTTTCTGTAACCTTCATCTCTCTTTCACATTCTGAAGCTCAATTGACATTCGATCAACTTAATTGTAAATTTCTCATCAATTGATTAGTTGTAAAAACCTTTTAATTGTTGATTAACTCTCATTGAGTCATGATCATGATACTAATCATAATAAAAACGATTGAAATTTAAAAAACATGATGATTTTAATTTGATTGATTGGTCATGATTAACGAACAAAAATTTAAATTTAACTTTTACTTATGAAAACATCTCATTCCGAAACAATCAAGAGAGAGAGCGAGAAGTAATTAAATTAATTCTCTGACAGTTAAATCAACTTCCAATCAATTCATTCATATTATTTACTATTCAGTTACGAGAACAAAAGTCGTAATAACGGTAAAAAAAGTTTTCGAAAAGTTTTTGTTCCCCTTTCCTGTCAGAACGAAATTAGAAAAAAAAGTTTTCCATTAACATTTTCCCGCCACAAACATGGAACCAAAGTATTCATGATAATATTTATCATGCTGAGTATCAAATTATCATGATTATTGACCAAGCAATGAATTTGAATAATGAAAAATATGCAAATTGTGAGTAAACAATTGAAACTTTCACCATTGGATGAAAAAGCTAAGCAAATTAATCATAATCCATTCTAAATGATAACAATTAAATGTCAACAATCAACCCATTTAATAGGATTGAAGCTTGACTGAGATAAACTTTTCTAATGGTTACATGAATTTAAATTATGAAAGGTAAATCCAAATACAATTTACATGATCAGCTAATTGTTAACGATTAAAAGGAAACGGGAATCAGTTTAATTTTAGGCTTAGTTTGTCCTAATTATACGGTTCCCTTATTACGTTGAAATTACCATGAATCGGATAAACAGTTTTGTTGACAACTATCTCAAGGGGATAATCTTCATCCTCATCTTCATCTTCATCCTGAGTATCATCATCATCATCATCATCGTTATCATGATTATCGTTCAATCAATTGATGTAAAAACTTTTTTTGTGTGTTAAACTTTTCACTTAAACATGTTGATTTAACTCATTCATTCATATAACTGATCATTATTTACAATTAACGACATATTTAGTTGATTTGTAAAACCAATTGAAAGATCAACAATTAACTAATCAACTCTTTACATTCAATTTGATTAGTCTAATTGTTGAGATTCAGTTTTGAAGACTAAGATTTTTTTTTTGATTTAAACAAAATTTCATATTAAATTTAAACTTTGATATTATTACTAATCAAATGTTAATGATGATTAATTGATTGACTTAATATGTTTAAATTATATTCTCATTAATTAGATTGAAGATTAATTTTCAATCAATATAATAATTAGTACAGTATTAAATTGTACATTGATTAGTTTAGTTAAAATTTGTTTTTCTGTATGTATAAAAATCAATTGACTTTAAGGGTAACAATTAATTGGTTGTAAGCTAAATTAAGATTAAATTTAGTTGATTAGTTGATGTTGGTGTTATTGAATCAATAAATTGCTACTTGATTGATCCAGTTAAGTTGATTAGTTATAAATAAAGAAATATTTTTTGAAACAATTTACTTGACACAAATTATGATTGTAATAAACTAACAATCCTAATCATCTTCATCCGTAATCATCTTGGTTCATTGATTGTCATCATTTAATTACTATTATATCGTAATAATTATCAATGAAACTTTGTTACTGTTGTTGCCTTGAACAAAAATCAACTCAACTATTTTACCGTTAGAAGTTAATTATAACAGTTAACTCATCTTCAATGATTAGTTAATCATCTTAATCATCCACATATTTAAACAGATCAGTTGATAAATTGAAAAACATGAATTAACTGTAAATAAAAGTACGAGGTAATTAAATCAATTAAATGAAAAAAAAGTTGTTCCTTTCAATGAGTAAATCAAATCAATTGCTTCTGTTAATCAATCAACCAAATTACCGTTACAATTAAAAGTTTTCAAACATAACAATTAACTTTTTTTAAGTTAAATTGTGTTCTAAATTATGGTCAATCCATTTAATAACTTGAAGAAAGTTTAATCAAATTAATTTTACCTTTAAGTTAATTGTTGATAATCATTGACAAGTTGACATCAATTAATTACAATTAATGATAACAATTAAGCTCACTCAAACCACTAGAATCGTGATTGTTTCATATAATACAAAACCATAATTAACAATTTACTTGATAATCATCATTGTTAATAAATTGATTATCACGAGATAAACTATAATTAGATTGGTACAATTAACTAACTGTAATAGTAATTAAGTTTAATGAGTGAGCCTTAATTGTGATAGTTTTGTTTTCCCCTCAAACTTTTTGCTTGTTAAACTTTAATTATTACGATGGAGGGATTGAAGAGGTTAATTAAAAT